CAAAATGATTTTTAATTCCCAAAAAAAAAAAAAAATTAACGTAACTCAATTTCAAATAAAAAATTCATTACTTTATTTTTTTCTTTACTGTATAAATAAAAAATAAATAATTTTTTAAATAAAAAATATCCAAATCTAGCTACAAGCCATACCCAACACATGTTAAAAGGGATTTCCCAACAACTTTTATAAAAAATTAAAAATATATATTTTTAATAATACTTTTCAATTAAAAAACAGTAAAAACAACGCTTGATAGCACTATAATATCGTTTACAGTATGGTTCATATTACAATAAATCTAAATTTACAGTAAATGCCCAATTTTTTTCTCATGCCGAATAATATAATTGTAGGAACTCATGAGCAGCATGGATTTTTAAAAATATTGATAAAATAATATATTTAAAAAATAACATCAAACATTCGAATACCACGTGGATGTGGTCCTTTTGATTTTCTACCACTCTTTTGACCATATTCGACCTCCTAAATCTACCAACCCTACGTCTTGGGGTGGGAGTTCTAGCCCACATCGAAACAAAAGTGGGGCTACTTGAATTATCCTTAGAGTATCGCCAAATAGAAATGCTCAATGAAAATTTAAAAATAAAATAAAAAATATTATTTTAATTTTTTAATGTTTATTTTATACACGCTTTAAAAAGAGTTTTAAATAAAATACTATTTTATTATTTCTCTTACAAAAATATCATTCCTATATATACCGTAAAATGCTAAAATACTATTTATTAGGATTTTTTAGTAATTTTTTTAATTTTTTAAATCAATATTTTTTTTGAGTTTATTTTTATGCAATTATACTAGTATGATGATTTGTGTTAAAGTTCATCTTATTTTTAGAACAGTAAAATGAACTATATTAAATAATTATATATTAAAATACAATATTTTAGAAATATTTTATTATTAAATATACATAAAACAAATATTTATAGTATTTAAAAAGATAAATATCTGTTTGGCTATTCTAAAGATGTCCTTGGAGATGCTCTGATAATGGCCACCAACTTTGACCTTTCTCTTCCTCCATGAGGCGGGGTCCAAGATGAAGAAGTAATACGTAGTGCATCTCTCCACCCTATATACTGGGATGCGGGTGCTTACCCGCATCAACACAACAATGGTAGAGACCAAGAATCAGAAGCATTTTGTTCTAGTACATGGAGCTTGCCATGGGGCTTGGTGCTGGCAAAAGTTCAAAACGCTGCTTGAGTCAGCAAGTAACAGGGTCACGTTGCTTGACCTTGCAGCTTCAGGCGACAACACGAAGACAATCCAAGATGTAGCAACATTTTATGAATATACGGAGCCTTTGTTAGATTTTCTGGCCTCATTACAACCGAAGGAGAAGGTTATTCTGGTAGGGCACAGCCTAGGAGGTTTGAGTTTGGCTCTAGCTATGGAAAAGTTCCCAGAGAAGATTGCTGTTGCTGTTTTCTTATCAGCTTTCATGCCAGATACCACACACAAGCCATCATTTGTCATGGATCAGGTACTGCTAGAAATATTGGCAAAAAAAAAGAAAAAAAAGAAATTCTTTGAAGTGCTATTTGAAAATATCAATTGCTTCTCAAGTTGAATTCTTCTCTAATTTTTTCCCCCTGAATCTATAAAGTATAACGAGAGGACCCCGGCGGCGGCCTGGCTGGACACTCAATTTTTACCATACAACAGCTCGCAAAGTCATCTCACGACAATGTTTTTTGGACCCAAATTCTTGTCCTCCAAGCTCTATCAGCTAAGCCCACCTGAGGTACCTTTCCTGCCAACATCTTCAAATTCACAGTTACATTAGTTGTGGACTTTCCAACATGACAGTTAAAGTAGTCTTCTCTCTTTTTTACTCCTTTTGATCATGTCAAACCTGGTAGAGCAAGCGCGCTGCAGGTTTTACATGATTACTAAACATGCCTTACTTTTGGATTTTTCAAGGATCTTGAGCAAGCAAAGACTTTGGTAAGGCCAGGATCACTGTTTCTGGATGATTTATCAAAGGCAAACAGTTTCTCCACGACGGGCTATGGGTCAGTCAAACGAGTATATGTTATCTGCGATGAAGATTTAGCGATACCAGTAGAGTTTCAACGCTGGATGATTGAAAACAGTGCTGTTGAAGAAGTTATGGAAATTGAAGGTGCAGACCATATGGCTATGTTTAGCAAGCCACAAGAACTCTTCCATTGTCTCTCGGAGATGGCAAATAAACATGCTTAAGCTGTCCTTATCAGCACCCTTAGTTGTAGTGGTTTGCAGATATATGAATCCATCTGTGACAAAAAGAAAGGAGGAAATTAGGTTATTTCCGACAATAATGAGTGGCATTAGTTGCTCACGTGGTCACTAGAATAAAGAGACAAGATATGCTACTGTGTGTGTATTTTTAATGTAAAATGTTTTATTTGTTATTTTTGAATTGTTAAAGGGTTGCTGTCTTTCCATTAATCTATAGCATACTTAAAATAACTTTATTATTCTTAAAAAACAAATAATTAGTTAACTATAGTTTAGGGCTTTTTTGGCATTTTATATTTTTTATTACAGAGTAATTATGATATTACCCATAGATTCAATTTTTAAAAGTTTGATACGAGAGGCTAAATTATAATTAATTTTTTTGAAAAATAATGCTTGGATCTAGGGGATAAGAAGGTGTTTTTGAAAAAAATAAAAAACTTAAAAAGCTATTAATACGTGCATTGTATGCATCAATGCGTCTCCTGTTTCGTTGTCTTGAAAAAATATGTACTACTGTATATGATGATCAAAAAATTAATTTTGTTATCTCATCTGAATTATTTCAGCCTTTTTATTTTTATTATACAATACATGTATTTATTGAACATCTCATATGTCGCTAACATCCTTATTTTTTTCTCTCTTTCCTCCTACAAAACAATGCCTACCCTCCATTTTCTCATATTAGCATTTCAAGTTCCTTTCTATTTATTTATTCTGTCCTTGAATTTTTTATATTTGTGAGTTTTGTTTTAATTTATTTATTAAATTTTCATTTGTTTTTGATTGTATACTCCTTTAATTTCTTTATATATCAAATTATATCTTTACTTTTTTGATTTTATCCTTTTTATTTGAGATAGTTTTTTATTTTTTTATTTTACCCTTTTATTCTTTTCTTCTTTTATATTTTTTCATATTTGATGCTCAATCTTTCTTTCTTTTTTTCCTTTTTGCTTTAGTGAGTGTTTTAATTTGAGATTTTATTTTTATTTTTATTATTTATCATTAAAGTGATTGACAATTAAAATTTTTAATTGAACTTTTATATATTCAATTTAAATGTTTATAATAAAGCGACAATAAGTTTTTTATGTTAGAAAAATATATAAATAATTTTTATTTTACTTTAGAAAATTTTTTATCTAAACTGCAGCGCTTCACCAATCTTGTTCTATAGCTAAGGTCATATTTGTTTTATGAAAAAACCATTTTCCAAACTTTTCTATGCTTGTTTGTCATTAGAAAAGTTCATCATCAGAAAGCACTTTTCAGTTAAAGAAAAATTTAACTTGGTTTCTAGGAAAGTATTTTCCTGAAAAATTTGGATGGAAAATAGTTTCTGGAAGTTGTGAAAAATTTAGAAATGTCATATTATTTATTAATTATATCAAATTTGATCCTCAAACTTTTGATTGTTATATATATATTTTGTTTTGAATATTTATTTTTCAATTTTATCTCTTAAAATTTAATTTTTATATTAACTTTATTTCTCATTTTTATAATAATTATTTATTTTTTTATTAAAAATTTTTATCTATCAAATGTGGTCCTCATTCTTTTAATTATTATTATTTTATTTGAAATAATTTATGAAATGTTAGTTATTATTATTTTAATTTTTTTATCTTTAATTTTTTTATTTTTTAAATTTAATCTATATTATTTTTATTATTATTATTATTATTATTATTTTAATTATCATTACTATCATCGTGGCTGACTCGCCTCTTTGGGAATGTTCGAGATGGGACCTGGGAGATAGAGATGCCTTGGCGCCTGATGAACTAACCTAAATGGTTAGCGGAAGGGACTGCCCTTAGAAATGCAGAAGAAGGCGATGCGTTAGCTGGTTATGATCTAGGTGCAGCAGCTTTCACCAAAAAGAAATCCTTGTTCTTGTTCTGGTACCCCTTCCGAGATGTTGATTGAGAAGTTTACAGTGTTTATAAAAATATATTCATGGTTGTTTTTTAAAATATTTTTTATTTATAAATATATTAAAATAATATTTATTATTTTTTAAAAATTATTTTTATTTTTTACGTATCAAAATATCTATAAACACTAAAATAATATTAATTTAAAAAAATTAATTTTTTTTACAAATATTTTCAAAATACAAAAATAAAAAGGAAATTAATAAATAATATATATTCCTCTGTCTACAGAGAGAGACCCCTAGAATAGCAAGAACAGATACCTATGGGACTTGAATGGTATAACA